TTTTTTTTTTTTAAAAAGCTATATTCTTCTCTCAATTTCACCTCACACTACCTACCTACCACTACTCCTAATTGTAGGCATACGGGGTTAGCAGCCAGAACCGTGTTCACGAGAGAACATGCGGGGGCTGCTCCCGACCTGCAGGTGGGCGATACTGGCTAGGGGGCAGCCGGTAGCATCAGGGACCATGCCAACAGGACCAATCCCTGTGCCTCCCCTCAGGTTCCCTCCCCTATGAACATCAGCAGACTTCGCTAAATGCCAATCGGCGGATCCAGTGGTCTATCTCTAGGTGGCGGGCGTACGCATCTATCTCATCCTCTCACTATTCTATATATAGTATGGGGGAACACCAACCAACCCGGATCCCTCCCCAGCCCACAGTGTAGGGTGGTGCGAGGGCAAGGCTGTACCAGCCCCTCATCACGGTGACGAGGGGTGGGCAGGCATTGCCGATGGGGGAAGGTACACAGGCCATGAAGATAGATTGCAGACTTCGCGCGGAAGGGTAGGATGTTCGAGTAGGCCTACTTCGGTAGTGAGCCGGTAGAGGCTGACGTGCCCAGCCAGGAACGGACTGGAGGCCAAGGGTATTGCTCCTGATCCACTAATTTTCAAGAGTCCTTCCAGAGCTGTCAGACTCTCGAAATCCAAGGACATCGGGTCTCGCTCCGCTACACTAGACTCACGAAAAAGTTTGTGAGTGCTTCTAGAGCTGTCAGAGGTCTAGAACTCTAGAAAAAAGAAGCATGGCTCCACTTATTCCAGACTCAAGAACTATAGAAGCACTCACGAATTCATGTGCGCTACATGACAGCCCTTCTACAGCGCCGGCTCGTTCTGATGGTCGGGGCAGGAGCCACACTCACGAAAAAAGAGGTCGGAGCGGGGGTAGGCGCGAGGACGCTAGAAGACCTGAGCGTTGCCGGAGCGGGGTTAGGAGCGAGGACGCTAGAAAACCTGAGCGTTGCAGGCTGTGAACTTTATACAAATAGAGAGTGCCCTTTGAGAGTGCTTATTGTCTGTCGCTCTCGAAGGGTGTTGTCACGAGTTCCAGTCTAGAGTAAGTGGAGGGAGGCGTTACTCTCGAAACTTCGGGAGTCTAGAATAGCGGAGCGAGGCCCATCCCTTCTTTGCTGCACTCACTCCCTAAGGCGGGACACTCAAACTTGAGTATGGTACTACATCAATACCCAACAACAAAGCCGCCTGTTTTTGGGCTGTGATTCCAGGTCCACTCTCGAGAAAACCAGGTCCCACCGAGGGCACGGCCGACCTCCCTTGAAAGATAATATGCTGGGACGTGGACAGTGTGCCGCCAGCTTCAGAGATTAAATGCTGGGACGTGGACAGTGTGCCGGCAGCTTCAGAGATTATATGCTGGGACGTGGACAATGTGCCGCCAGCTTCAGAGATTATACGCTGGGACGTGGACAGTGTCGCCTGCTTCAGATGATGATTATACGCTGGGACGTGGACAATGTGCCGCCAGTGACTGATGATGATTATACGCTGGGACGTGGACAGTGTGCTGCCAGCGACTGATGATGATTTTATGCAAGGACGTGGACAGTGTGCCGCCAGTTATTGCTGATGACTTTATGCTGGGACGTGGACAATGTGCCGCCAGCTACTGATGATGATTTATGCTGGGACGGGGACAGTGTGCCACCAGCTACTGATGATGATTTTATGCTTGGGACGTGGACAGTGTTGCCGCCAGCTACAGATGATGATGATGTGCTGGGACGTCGCCAGTGAGCCGCCAACTATTGATGATGATTATGTGCTCGGACGTGGCCCGTGTGCCACCAGCAGCAGCCAATAGTCGGCTTGCTATGATTATGGTATAATTTCGGATGTCGGAGCTGGATATGAGCAGCCGATGATGGCTTGGCTCAGTGGTGGACTTATGTGTCTGTCGGGCCTAAATTGACCCTAGTTTTGTATGTATGTAAGTTAAAATTTTAAAATTTCAGTTCATTGCATTGTATCTGGCTTGTCATGTGTCATTCCTGGGACATGCCTGGGGGATTGGGAGCCAGTTTATGAGCAGAAGGCAAGCCACGGAAGGGATAAGGAGAGGGGGGGGCAAGACTGGCCCCTCACTTTCCCTTTCTCATCCTTTTTCTTCTCTCTCTTCTCTTCTTCCCTTTCACTCCCTCTTCTTTTCAACTGTCTTCATTTCCTTTTCACTCACCCTCCATGGGTTGTGTGCATGCCGTATCTAATCTGTGCGCACTATGCCTGAGCTGTATCTATTGATTGGTCTTGAACTATACGCTTACACGCTGTATCTGAGGGTTGACTTTGAGCCGAGCACCGATGAGCACTGTACCTGATGATTGACCATGAACTGTGCGCTCGCACGCTGTAACTAAGGGTTGACTTAGTACCGTGCACCTACGTGCACTGTATCCACGGGCTGATCCTGGACTGTGCGCAACATGTAGTATTGCCTCCGAATCTGAGTGCTTTATTTTGGTTACATAATCAATGTCGCATGATGATTGGTTGTACAAATGAGCATTCGAATATGAATATTTGACTATGCCAATAAGCACCCGAACAGAGTATGATGATTGCTTACAAAGCACCCAAACTGAGTATATTGTTTCTCGCTGTTTGAGTTATCTGCGACTGTGCGCACTTGGACTTAAGTGCGACACTGTGCAATTGGACGACAAAACTCGGCTTTAATAACTCCGAGTTAAGTATGATAAGGTCCGTGCCAGCGCAGTCACACTGAATGCCAAGCCGATTTTGGGACTGCCAGTGCAGCCACACTGAATACCCAGCCAATTTTTGGACTGTCAGTGCAGCCACACTGAATACCCAACCGATTTTGAGATTATCAGTGCAGTCTGAGTACCAAGCCGATTTTGAGACTGCCAGCGCAGTTGCACTGAGAACCAAGTCGATTTTGAGTCTGCCAGCGCAGTTGCACTGAGAACTAAGTCGATTTTGAGACTGYCAGCGCAGCCACACTAGAAAACAARCCGATTCTGAGACTGYCAGYGCAGTTGCACGGAATACCTAGTTGATTTKGAGACTGCCTGCGCAGCCACACTGGAAAACAAGTCGATTTTGAGACCATCTGCACAGGCCATATTGGAAGYTTTTCKCAGTTTGCAACGGTGCGCAGCCTGCAYACCACACTTGAGGGCTAAATCTSACTTTTGCATTTCGCGACTGTGCGCAGTGTGCGCACCGTACTTGAGAACCATATCTGAGCATTCCGCAACTGTGCACAGTGTGCGCACCGTACTTGAGGACCATATCTGAGCATTTCGCAACCGTGCGCAGYGTGYGCACMGTACTCAGCATTTCGCGACTGAGYGCAGCGTGCGCACCGTACTTGATTGAGGGYTATTTCTGAACATCGTGCTATTCGCAAGGGCCAAGGGCCATTTGCAACTGTGCRCAGCGTGCTCACCATACGTGAGAGCTATATCTGAGTTTTCAATTGTGCGCCAGCGCRCACCACGTCARAAGGYCATTYGCAGTTAAYGGCAGTGCACAATGAGCACTATACTTGAGGGCCATACTTGACGAKCATTTCGCAGTTTGTAACTRTGCGCAGCATGC